GATGACTCGGCACAGGTGAGGATGTGCTGGCGTTGGATGCGTGGTCTGCGTCCGCAATCGAGTCCTGTGAGGACGGCTGCGAGTTCGGCCCTGCTGGGGACGACGCCATTTTGGCCGGGGTGCGTGCTGAGGCCGGAGTGTTCGCACCGCGGGAACGGTTGCGGGTATTATTGTAGTTTCTTCTCATTTCTGATCCCCAGCCTTACCGGGGGTTGTGCCGCTAGGCGGGTGTGTTGTGAGGTTCCGAATTGGTTTTAAGCTTGTAAGGTTCGTGTCCGGGTGTAGTGGAGCTCAATCAGATTGCGGCCATCTTGGTTGGCTGCTCACTAGCGCCCCCGGAATGTCTGCTTTTTACCACCCTGCAGCCCCCTTGAAAATGTTTGTGGCACATTTGAGGTTTCTCTCAGTAAGATACGTAAATGATTTTTATAAATGTATTTATATTATTTATATTTATTAACGATTACAGGTAAAAAAAATTAGAATGGACAGAAACTGTGAAAGAAATAGACCAAATCATTAAATACTAGAGCTCAGCCTAAAGGATATTTTCCTTTACTGGCCAGAATAGGTACCTAAGTGAGATAAAAGTAGGCTATTGTCTGCAAGGGGCCCCAAGGACCACATGTTGGGTACTAGGGGGCTAGACAGATAATTAGATTGCGATTGCACAAATTTGCTCACATATGCCGGCATCAAGCTGAAAGGTTTATACTTGTATGTATTTATTAATTAAATTGGCCTCATTGTCTATCTACACTTCCCTAAATTATATCAAATCTCTGCTTCAATCTTGGCTTTCCATGTGATTCAGAATGAGATATCACGGTTGGATGAAAATTCCTCTTTTCTTTCTTATTTGACAGAAAACAAATCACGTAGCAAAATGGAGGAACTGGAGAGGAAACTACAGGAAGCAAAATCGGCACAAGAGTCTAAAAAAGATGAGCATGAAAAGAGGACCTTTGAGATGAACCTCACAGCAAGGCTGGAAAAGCAAAAGAGTGAGAACCTGATGCTCCGGGAAAAACTCAACTTTATAATGCAAGGAAAGGAAAGAGTAAGTGCCATGGGAGCTCTATGCCAATCCGGGGATCTGTGGGAGGTGAGGAACCACCGATGATATTACAAGGAGAGGTCTAAATCAGCTGTTACTGCCAGTGATGTCAATAAGATTCCAAAGGAAAGGGAGGCGTCAGTGGCTGGACATGGTGGCACTTGGGAATACTAGATACAATAAGGAATGGAGATGGTAGAGGCAGGAGGCGGCAGTGGCTGGGTATGGTGGCATTTTGGGAATACTAGATACAATAACGAATGGAGATGGTAGAGGCTGGAGGCGGCAGTGGCTGGGGATGATGGCACTTGGGAATACTATATACAATAAGGAAGGGAGATGGTAGAGGCTGGAGGCAGCAGTAGCTGGACATAGTGGCACTTAGGAATACTATATACAATAAGGAAGGGAGATGGTAGAGGCTGGAGGCAGCAGTAGCTGGACATAGTGGCACTTAGGAATACTATATACAATAAGGAAGGGAGATGGTAGAGGCTGGAGGCAGCAGTAGCTGGACATAGTGGCACTTAGGAATACTATATACAATAAGGAAGGGAGATGGTAGAGGCTGGAGGCAGCAGTAGCTGGACATAGTGGCACTTAGGAATACTATATACAATAAGGAAGGGAGATGGTAGAGGCTGGAGGCAGCAGTAGCTGGACATAGTGGCACTTAGGAATACTATATACAATAAGGAAGGGAGATGGTAGAGGCTGGAGGCAGCAGTAGCTGGACATAGTGGCACTTAGGAATACTATATACAATAAGGAAGGGAGATGGTAGAGGCTGGAGGCAGCAGTAGCTGGACATAGTGGCACTTAGGAATACTATATACAATAAGGAAGGGAGATGGTAGAGGCTGGAGGCAGCAGTAGCTGGACATAGTGGCACTTAGGAATACTATATACAATAAGGAAGGGAGATGGTAGAGGCTGGAGGCAGCAGTAGCTGGACATAGTGGCACTTAGGAATACTATATACAATAAGGAAGGGAGATGGTAGAGGCTGGAGGCAGCAGTAGCTGGACATAGTGGCACTTAGGAATACTATATACAATAAGGAAGGGAGATGGTAGAGGCTGGAGGCAGCAGTAGCTGGACATAGTGGCACTTAGGAATACTATATACAATAAGGAAGGGAGATGGTAGAGGCTGGAGGCAGCAGTAGCTGGACATAGTGGCACTTAGGAATACTATATACAATAAGGAAGGGAGATGGTAGAGGCTGGAGGCAGCAGTAGCTGGACATAGTGGCACTTAGGAATACTATATACAATAAGGAAGGGAGATGGTAGAGGCTGGAGGCAGCAGTAGCTGGACATAGTGGCACTTAGGAATACTATATACAATAAGGAAGGGAGATGGTAGAGGCTGGAGGCAGCAGTAGCTGGACATAGTGGCACTTAGGAATACTATATACAATAAGGAAGGGAGATGGTAGAGGCTGGAGGCAGCAGTAGCTGGACATAGTGGCACTTAGGAATACTATATACAATAAGGAAGGGAGATGGTAGAGGCTGGAGGCAGCAGTAGCTGGACATAGTGGCACTTAGGAATACTATATACAATAAGGAAGGGAGATGGTAGAGGCTGGAGGCAGCAGTAGCTGGACATAGTGGCACTTAGGAATACTATATACAATAAGGAAGGGAGATGGTAGAGGCTGGAGGCAGCAGTAGCTGGACATAGTGGCACTTAGGAATACTATATACAATAAGGAAGGGAGATGGTAGAGGCTGGAGGCAGCAGTAGCTGGACATAGTGGCACTTAGGAATACTATATACAATAAGGAAGGGAGATGGTAGAGGCTGGAGGCAGCAGTAGCTGGACATAGTGGCACTTAGGAATACTATATACAATAAGGAAGGGAGATGGTAGAGGCTGGAGGCAGCAGTAGCTGGACATAGTGGCACTTAGGAATACTATATACAATAAGGAAGGGAGATGGTAGAGACTGGAGGTGGCAGTGGCTGGGTATGGTGGCATTTTGGGAATACTATATACAATAAGGAAGGGAGATAGTGGAGGCTGGAGGTGATGGTGGTTGTGGATAGAGGCAAAAATGGGAAGAGAATTTCAGAGAATTTGAGCTTCCTGAGGAAAACTCTTTGTCATTTTTTTGTTTTGTAAATCCCTACCTCTTGTTTTTATTTCAGGAACAGGAATTGTACACCAGACAGGGGTGTTATGATGACGCCCGCATGTACCACCAACAGGTTAAAGATTTAAAACAAGAGACGGAGGAACTGAAAGGAACATCTTGGGTGGATTCTGCAGTTAATACGTTCTGCTCTGTTGCCCAATGTTTTTCATGGCAGGGTGTTCTTGCTGCAGGAGTGGCAAAGATTGTACGCGGTTTCTTTAAGTAGAAGAGTTTGTGTAAGAAAATGACACAAAATATGATTTTTTATGTCATATTCCTTTTCTCAAAGCATAGGGTGGAAAAGTTCAATGATAGATGATTGTTTCCGTTGTTGCATAAAGTTCAGAATGTGTTTAATTTAAAAGTTGCAAATGATTACAGGATATGGTATATCTTACAGAATTAGTCTATAAGATGCTTGATGATGACAAAATATAGTATATCTTACAGCAGAAATCTATAAGATGCTTAAGAAACGTCTTTAGTTAGTAAGTAAAAATAGTCCTAACAGGTGTCTGTCTATTCAATGTAAGTGTGGGTGTGTCTGTGTGATGCTGTGCGTGTATGTGTGTGTCTGTAGTGCGAATGAGTGTGTGAGTGTGTCTTGAAGGATCATCCCTCATCCTTTTATTCATGATTTTACTTTAAAATAACCTATGTGATGTTTACCTTAAAAGTCTTTCTGATTAGCATAAGGGAGTGCCATACTCTAGTAGCTGGGTCATGTGTTCTCCTTCTATCCCATTTTGGGCATAATAGTCTATGTCCTGAGTAATGTGGTTTACTCTACAAACTCAGTTTAAAGGCCAATCTTCTTTGAGCAATCCTAACAACTGAGTAAAAACTGAATCTCCAAACTTGGATAGATTAAAATATAGAAAATCAATCATCATTTAAGGTTCACACATACATATTTCAATATATCTGGTTTTAACAGTTTGTAAACAAAAATCTAATTTGCTGGTGCCTATAGGCTATATAAAAGGGCAGAATCATGTGTAATGCTTGGAAATGGCACTGTGTTGGTGTTTTCTTTTTTTATAAATAAAATTACTTCTTATATTTGAAATGTTTTTGCTTCCTTTTTTTTCAAATAAAATTAATAAAATATTCACATTAAAGTCATCAGTATCTGTTCTTCTCTCTCACAATATGCTTCCTCTATGGTACGGATGTGGGTTTTTTTCTGCAGACTTTGCACTTCGGGTCCGCTTATTCAATGTGGTCGCTTTCCGAAATGCTGCAAGAAAGTGCAAAAATGAACCTGTGGGGAGCAAAATACATAACATACTTACCTTTCAGTCGACTTCTGTAAGGGGGTGACGTCACCATCCTGCTAAAGAGATCCCAGGGAACGCTGAGTACTGCGAATGTCACAAGCACAGTTCAGAATTACCTTCTCAGTGAGATTTGAAATACTCAGCGTCCCTTAAGATCTCGCTGGAAGGAGGATGATGTCACTCTTGTCCTAGGCATCACAGGTGGAAGCTGGGGATAAGGTAAGTATAATATCTAACTCCCTCCAGGTTTTGTTTTATTACAATCTCATGGAACGCTTTAGGAAGGGGATAGGATCTTGCTACTGTACCAGACACCAGGAATGGGTCCTGGATGGAGGATATATCTCTCCCTTGTTTAGGTGGTGGTCCCGTTAAGGTCACCTTGTATTCAGGGTTCTCGCCAAGCAGGGTAAGGGATTTGGTCGGACTTGTAAGGGAAACTGCTAGGCAGTCTTCCCAGAGTTGTTAAATATACGTGGGTCCCGGAATTCAGAGGCTCAGAGAAATTTTGGGTGGGACAGAGCCTCCATCCCTGACTAAAGCCAGTTCTGGTAATGAAAGGGTTAACCCACCAGCCAGAGGGTGTGTTAAAAAGGAACATTTAATTTAAAAGTTGCAAATGATTACAGGATATGGTATATCTTACAGAATTAGTCTATAAGATGCTTGATGATGACAAAATATAGTATATCTTACAGCAGAAATCTATAAGATGCTTAAGAAACGTCTTTAGTTAGTAAGTAAAAATAGTCCTAACAGGTGTCTGTCTATTCAATGTAAGTGTGGGTGTGTCTGTGTGATGCTGTGCGTGTATGTGTGTGTCTGTAGTGCGAATGAGTGTGTGAGTGTGTCTTGAAGGATCATCCCTCATCCTTTTATTCATGATTTTACTTTAAAATAACCTATGTGATGTTTACCTTAAAAGTCTTTCTGATTAGCATAAGGGAGTGCCATACTCTAGTAGCTGGGTCATGTGTTCTCCTTCTATCCCATTTTGGGCATCATAGTCTATGTCCTGAGTAATGTGGTTTACTCTACAAACTCATTTTAAAGGCCAAGTCTTCTTGAGCATTCCTAACAACTGTTTCAACTATACTTAGGTCTGCCTGTCAGGCTTACTGATTGATTACCAATTGTAAACTCAAAATCAGCAGTACGGTAAAAACTGAATCTCCAAACTTGGATAGATTAAAATATAGAAAATCAATCATCATTTAAGGTTCACACATACATATTTCAATATATCTGGTTTTAACAGTTTGTAAACAAAAATCTAATTTGCTGGTGCCTATAGGCTATATAAAAGGGCAGAATCATGTGTAATGCTTGGAAATGGCACTGTGTTGGTGTTTTCTTTTTTTATAAATAAAATTACTTCTTATATTTGAAATGTTTTTGCTTCCTTTTTTTTCAAATAAAATTAATAAAATATTCACATTAAAGTCATCAGTATCTGTTCTTCTCTCTCACAATATGCTTCCTCTATGGTACGGATGTGGGTTTTTTTCTGCAGACTTTGCACTTCGGGTCCGCTTATTCAATGTGGTCGCTTTCCGAAATGCTGCAAGAAAGTGCAAAAATGAACCTGTGGGGAGCAAAATACATAACATACTTACCTTTCAGTCGACTTCTGTAAGGGGGTGACGTCACCATCCTGCTAAAGAGATCCCAGGGAACGCTGAGTACTGCGAATGTCACAAGCACAGTTCAGAATTACCTTCTCAGTGAGATTTGAAATACTCAGCGTCCCTTAAGATCTCGCTGGAAGGAGGATGATGTCACTCTTGTCCTAGGCATCACAGGTGGAAGCTGGGGATAAGGTAAGTATAATATCTAACTCCCTCCAGGTTTTGTTTTATTACAATCTCATGGAACGCTTTAGGAAGGGGATAGGATCTTGCTACTGTACCAGACACCAGGAATGGGTCCTGGATGGAGGATATATCTCTCCCTTGTTTAGGTGGTGGTCCCGTTAAGGTCACCTTGTATTCAGGGTTCTCGCCAAGCAGGGTAAGGGATTTGGTCGGACTTGTAAGGGAAACTGCTAGGCAGTCTTCCCAGAGTTGTTAAATATACGTGGGTCCCGGAATTCAGAGGCTCAGAGAAATTTTGGGTGGGACAGAGCCTCCATCCCTGACTAAAGCCAGTTCTGGTAATGAAAGGGTTAACCCACCAGCCAGAGGGTGTGTTAAAAAGGAACAGGAAGCCAGTCAGTGAGTGTCTGTGAGGAGTTTTTGGAGCAGGACACATGGTTGTGTGTGTAAAGCTGTGGAATACAGTCTACTGAGACACTGCTGGGCACCTGTGTCCATACTGGTACCCTCTGTGAGTAGGCTGGGACTCTAACTCTGAGGCTGGGACTCTAACCCTGAGGTGGGACTTAGTATACAGGCGCTGAGCCAAATTTTGTCATTCTGCTGAACATAAGCCATTTTATTTGATTGTTTGTGGAAAAGAATAAAAGTTTATTTGCTGATACGGCTGGCTACGGGTCATATCTGCCCTGAATATTACACTACTTAAGTTCAAGGTCCACATGAAAGTTTATGTAAACCTAACATCTCTTATATTCTATGTAGAGCTATCACCGGAGGAACACATTACACATGTGTTGGATACATGGATACATTGTATCCCTCTGCCACTCCCAATGATGACCTCTGTTCCTCTTTCCTCCTCATTTGTGCCTCTTTTTTTTTGTCTGATGTCTAGACTTCTATAACAAAATGTAATATTACCTCCTGGCGTCAAATCACAACTTACACATATCACCTCATTCTCCCCTGGTCACCACCTCTTGAACTTTATCTATTCAGCTAGGTTGCTCCTTCCACTACTATGGTCTCTAGCTCTTCTGATAGAGGTTCGGAATGGTTACATATCCCCTTACTTCCAGCTAGAGACTGTGTTATGTGGACTTGGAGTGTAGGCAACCCCCCATCTCTACAGGCTGTGGTATGGGATTTGAAGTTCAGCAGGAAAGGCTGGACGTGGAGTTGCAGAAAAATACAAACATTTATTTCACAGGTGGAAAACTTTTAATAGGCCAGGAATTGCTCACTTGATGACAGCTTTCAAATAGATGGAACTCACAAACACTTTAGGGGCCCTAGGCACGGATGCTTGAACTAGTGAGGCATTTTTTTCTTTATGTACCATGTGGTAGCCACCCCCCCTCTAGTTTTACCGTTGTTTTCATTCTCTTTTGTGTTTTCTTTTATTTGGTGATGTAATTTATTACTGACCAGTTTTTCGTTGTATTTTGTTTTGTAAAAAGAATAAAAAACAACCTTAATTAAACATGTTAAGTTTAAACAATTAAGGAATTTCAACATTTGTATTCATACATGATAATAAAAGGAGAACATGTACATATTTTCTTGGAGGACCTCTGAAAGAAAGGAAAAAAGCAAGATGGTAAGCATACCCATCCAGTCTGGTCAGTCAGAAAAATGGTTCCCAAACAATATTCTTTTGATCATAGATTTGTATCACAAGGTGTCCCACAGTGAGAAAGTACACTTATGTGCCCAAAATTAGGAAAAAAGGGGGAAACCAGTGAAGGGATGGGGTCTTCTGAAGGACACCTGACCACTACTAAATGCCCCCACCCATCTGGGAGAAGAGATAGGATCCTCTATTTTTATCTTTCTTTGTCGTGTAATGAAGATATCACAGGGATATGGGAAGTGTTAGAGCCAGATAAATACACACACACATAGGTTGAACTGGATGGACCTTGGTATTTATTCAACTTTACATACTATGTTACTATGAACACACTGACCCAACAGTTATTTTTCATTATGTCTGGCATCACGCCTCGCTGTATACAACTTTAGAATAATTTTTTAAAGATTTTGTTGCAAAGTGTCCTACCTGGAGACGATTCTGCCATTAGCAGCACTTCCTCTTGCAGGCTGAAAACACTAAGCCTTCACCTCCCGATCAGAAGCAGAGTTGTTTAGCCAGCTGTGCGCTCCTTCAGTTTGCTGATGGCTTCTTATCAGGTCTACCAGATAGGCAACCCATCGTCCATGTGAAGGAGCTGGCATGGCAGGCAAAACACTGCTTTGGAGGCAGTGACTTAACACTGTCAGCCTTCTGCAGGAAATTATCTTACAGTAAAAAACTTTGTAACAAAAATAAAACTGTCTACATTGAGACACGATGGCAATCATACTGGAAAATAGATTTGGGGTTCACATTCACTTTAAAGGAGAACTATGAGGGGGAGGGGCTTTTCACTCACCTCATAGTTCTAGCCGACCTGTGACAATGAAACTGTCACAGGTCGGCTCAGTAGATCGGGAGGTGAGAGAACACATACTGGCGTTTGCTCATCTCTCAATCCTGTCACGGCTGGATTCCCCTCTCCCCGCTCCGATCTGGCAGCGCTGACTGGCGGAACAGATGGGGGAGGGGGCGGGTACAGCTGGCTCTGCCTCTAGATAGGCAGAGCCAGCTGTCACTCACGCAGCTGGGCGGATCCAGACATCGATGTCGGGACCCGCTGCGGCTGCGGCACTTTATTATACCGCGAGCTGTAGCTCGCGGTATACTGAGCTTAGGGTGACGGGAGGACGCTAGTTTGTGTCACCCTAGGAGAAGGAGAGGAGACTGGGCGATCCAAAGCATGTATATAATGACAGAATGCATACACATTTCGTTTATTCATTTGCATTGTGATAACACACTTTACATTGAATCATTTAGAGCAGTCCTACATTGCAGTCAAACACGTACACATATAGTACAAATAACAACAGCATGCATGCCCTGATGAGCTTTGGACCCAGGACTCCAACACTGCCAGATAAGAATGTTAACCCATTAGCCACCATGTAGCAAAAATTCCATTGCGGACTGCAGATACCAGCAGACAGATGGCATTGGTATCAGAATTTCCTATTGGACATGATAGATGTGAATGTTGCAGGTGCAGTGGAATGTAGATGGTCGCTCATGAGGCGATAATGAGAACCTACAGTGTAAAAACTTTCTGCAGGATCTTTGCGTGACTTGACTGAGCAGAGAGAAGGGAAGTGTTAAGTTTGTGTATGTAAAGGGAAGTGCTACAGATACTGAGCAGATGTAGTTGTAGGGTAGACATCTGCTATAATGTAACCTGGCTATAATCTGATTGCGAAATCATTCATAGATTTATCAACAACTGTATCATGTAGGGGCCTGCTGATTGGGTATGTATTAAAGCCATTTTTTTTTCATTTCTCCTTTAAGGAGACTCTCCTTTGCTAGAGGCTGTTTTTTTTTTTTTAAAGTACTTCTTTCCTCGTTTTCTTGTGTGTCCCCGCCATGCTCTTCCCCCCGCCTCCTGCATGGGTGCCACCATCGTTCTAATGGAGGCACCCGTGCGCACTCGTCCCCGCAGCAGCTGTGTGCGTCTATAGACACACACAGCCCTGTGGCAGGCCACGCCCCTTCCATCTTTGATTGATGGCAGAAGGAGCCAATGGCTTCTTCTGCCATCAGTATCCCCCGCAACCCTGAAGTTCGGGGTAGGGAGGATCGCTTCGGGACCATCGGCGGGGACGAGCGCAGCTGAAGGGTAAATGTGGGGGAGACTGGGGGGGGACTGGGGTAAAAAAAAAGGTCCTGGGCTGTTTTTACCCTAATGCAGAGAATGCATTAAGGTAAAAAACGCCCAGACCTTATTACTACTTTAAAGTAGAACTAGGACTTCCTATTAGAAAAAATGTTCTGCTGCATTGATTGTAAGTGCATCTCCTGCTACAGTTTTCCCTAAGTACCCAAGAAAAGTCTCACAAGTAAGGTTCATCCTTCCAGTGAGGTCCACCTTGTGCTGCTTTCTGTGATAGGGTAGCAACAATGTTGCACTGCTCCTAAATTCAGAGCAGAGTTGTCACCCTCATGTAGCCTATGCCTGCCTGCACTGCAGTGGGAGGAGAAGATGATGTGGGGCTTTGGCTATCAGGATTGTCATTGCTGATTCATAAGCCTGTCAATTAGCAACTGGCCACACCTAGAGGGTGGAGACAAGACCAGTCACCCTGCACGAGGAGAGAAAGCAGCAGTGAGCGGTCTTTATTACAGGAAGCTCCAAGTTTCCACTGGATTACTGCACTGATCTGGAAGAAATACACAAAGGACGCTAAGTTTCAGGTAGGAATACACAATCTTCTTTAATAAGTTAATATTTTTTTCACTTTAACTAGGATAAAAGAAGGGCTAGAACCTCCAGCAGGCAGCAATAAAAGGGACAGGCAGCAATAAAAGCATATTTGTGTAGTAGGGACGGGTTAGGATCTGTGCCAGGTTTTTTATCGCAGTCACAGTATTGCAGCATTCCTCTCTTTCTTTATTCTGGTGACATGAAAGGAAGTGAGTTTAAAGATTTCCAACAGGAACACAGACAAAAATAGCACCCGACAAGCTGGAATCCTTCCTTTACGGTGCTCAGAATATTATATTCTGCTTTCCTGTGACACAACTAGCAAGGTTTCCTCGGAGATAATGGCTGCTATCACTACTTTCACTTTCATCTGAGTTTCCGAGAAATACCATTTAAAGGAAGAGATTAACAAACTGAAGAACGTGCTGTGCTGTAAACACATCTGTTCACTTCTCTGACCATCTCTTCATACTCTGCAGGGTATAAGACACCGGCGAGACATAGAGGAACTCTGCAAGGTGTGAGGCACTGAACAGATGCTGAGGAACTCTTCAGGGTGCGAGACACCAACACGATATTGAGGAACTCTTCAGGGTGCGAGACAACAAAATATAGATTAACACTGCAAGGTGTGAGACACCAATGAGACATCAAAGTAGTACCCTGCAAGTTGTCAGACATCAAAAAGATAAAGAGGAGAGCCCCGCAGGTTTGTGAGACACTGATGAGACATAGTAGACAACTGCAGGGTGTGAGATACCAACGAGACACAGAGGAACCCTGCATAGTGTGTGACACTGATAGACAGAATGATAACCTGCAAGGTGTAAGACACAGATGAGACAGAGAAGAACCCTGCAAGGTGTGAGAAACCAAGGAGACGCTGAACTATTTCTGGTTAGAAAAACTGGACGATTCCGACAATTGGAGGACATTTTATGTCTATTTCTAGACACTGAGGAACACTGCAGGGTGTGAGAATCCAACAAGATACAGAACCTTACAGGGTGTGAGATTCCAGCGAGACCCCTGCAGAGTGTGAGGCACTGATGACACACTGGGCACCTGAACAGCCATTGACCTCTTTACCCTGAAGAAGGAAGTGGATCTCTGAATAATAATGCAAATAAACAAAGTATCACATAGTTAATGGTTTTGTGAGGCGCAGAAGAGACAGAGAATCCATGCTGACTGTGAGGCTCAGGGAAACCTTGAAGAGTGTAACCCCCAAAATTAACTCCACTAGAACTCCTGCAGAGAACACAGGTAGCCTGTAGTGATTAGCAATCATGTGTATATGTCTATATCTGTACTATACAGTGTATACATATAT